GTCCATCTGTCTGTCCATCTGTCTGTCCATCTGTCTGTCTGTCCATCTGTCTGTCTGTCCATCTGTCTGTCTGGTCTGTCTGTCCACCAGTCAGGTGTAGGGTAAAATTCCAATTCAATCTGTTAGCCATCCCCTGACTTGGATCAGCAGAGAGCTTGTTTCAAGGTTTGATGAAATTTGAGGATGTTTAAGTGTGTCTTGTCTGTTACTCCATCTGACTCTGCATCTTTCCAAGAGAAGGCAAAATGATAATTACATGAAATATTGAATTTGTTTCAATGATTAGACATGCAACACTCTTGAGAAGAACTTTGATGACATCAAGCACACCACCCTGAGTGAAAGAGGAGCGTTGAAAGAAGCATCCAGGTAGAAAGAACATCTAGTTCTCGTTAAACTTAGACTGGTTATTGTATGAGTGGGAAACATTCGGTAGTGACTTACAACATGTACATGGTACAACAAATGGCTTCCCATTGTCTTCTAGTGATTTGTAACTGGATATAAAGCTAGTCATCACTTTGCTCTGCTGCCATTTTTCTGGGTTGTGGATCAACTCTGATCAGCTGGAGTACATGACTGCCTGCAGAGGGAAGCAGTTTTACAAGCCAAAAAATAGTTAGCTTTCGATATATGCCTTATCATTGATGACTCTTAAAACTCCAATGTATGCAGGCTTAGCCTCATGTCCAGGAGTTGCTTTGTTCATTATTCTGATTTTTGCTTTTGTTTTCAGATCTCAGAAGTGAGGCTTAGCCCACATGACTGGAGTTTTAAGAGTCTTCAATAGATTAAAGATAGATAATTTTAGTCAAGTTTAGGTTTAATGGTGACAATAGTGTCTTGATAATAATGATATATGATGATGATGGTAAAGAAAGATAATGATTTTGACAATGCATGCGCTATGATTGCATGTCCGATCACATGATTACAATCTTGATAATGTGTGCATAAAAAGAACCCCTAATATATTGATTCATAAACTTGCATTGGACATGGCGTTGTTTTGCAGGTGCCTAAAGTGTGCAGATGCCCCATGCCAGAAAAGCTGTCCCACTCAGCTTGACATCAAGAACTTCATTTCTTGCATTTCTACCAAGGTAATGATGATGATGATGATGTAATGATGGTGATGATGATGGATATGAGTGATCTTAGTGATGGTGGTGGTGGTGATAAATATGGTGTTGTTGATGATGGTGAAGATGATACACAATGTTGAGTGATGATGGTGATAATGATGAAACATGGTAACTAATGATGATGGTGATGATGATGATGCATGGTGATGAATGTTGATGTTGAGATGCATGATGTCATTAAGTTTTGATGACAATTAGTAATTATGTGGTGAGTTGATTTACCTCAGGCGAATGGTTTCATGGGTGTGTTGGTGATGATGGTGATATCAAACATGATCATGATTCTGCATGGTAATGATAATGGAGGTAATGATGATGATGATGATGGTAATGATGGTGATGATGGTGATGATGATGATGGTAATGATGATGGTGATAGTGATGATAGTCGTGATGATGATGTGATGTGATGAAGGTCGTCATGCCTGATAATGATAGGTTTTGGGATGTTGATGATGATGTTGCTGATGTAATGCACATTTATATATCCCTAGAACTACTACGGAGCAGCCAAGGCCATCTTCAGCGACAACCCTCTTGGTTTGACATGTGGCATGGTGTGCCCCACAAGTGACCTGTGTGTTGGAGGGTGCAACCTCTATGCATCTGAAGAAGGACCAATCAACATTGGAGGACTCCAGCAATTTGCTACTGAAGTAAGTTTTCATCCCCCCCCCCCCCCCCATCCTTCTCATTCTCTGGCCCTCTCCTCTGCTCTACTTTAACATATGCTTCTGCTCCCCTTTAAATCTCATCTCCTCCTCTCTCTAATTCACTTCCATTTCTTTCCACTTTTGTACCATTTAAATCCACCCATCACATCTCTTCTCTATTCCCATCTTCTTCCCTTCCCATCCCTTTTCTCCATTCCACAACATTGTGTTCTTTCCCTTCCTTTCTTTCTCTTCTCCCTATTTTTCCTTTCCTCCCCACAGAGTAAATGAAGAGTACTTTGTCTATGGAAAGCCACTGCTTAATCCCATTTATTATATCCATCCACATCTCTTATCTCCTCCCATCTTTTTACTTCCTTCATATCCACTTCTCTTTTTGTTCTCTTCTCTTCACTCTCTTCTTTTCTAATCTCATTCCAAAGCCATTCTTTGCCTACGGTAAGAGCACTTGCCTCTCGTCAATGCAACCCTGGCTCAAGTCCCACTAGGCTCAGTGTCGTATGTGAGTAGAGTTGTTTGTTGGTTCTCTCCTGTGCTTTGAGGGGTTTTTTCCAGGTTCTCAGATTTTCCTCCGTCCAAAAAATCAACTTCAAACCTTCAATTTGATCATGAAAAGAGGCCCACATGTTTGTTAGTTAAGTGCTAACCTCCTTAAAACAACTATGATTTCCTACTTCTACTTCCAATCTCTACTTACTACCCTCCTCTCTTCTCTTCTATCAGTCTTCTCAAAGATAAGTCGCCTAGTTTTGAAATTCCCTTAACATTTATTGCCTTTGTGAACCATCAATCTTTAGGTCTTCAAAGAAATGAAGTTGCCCCAGATCCGTGACCCAAGTCTGACACCTCTAGACCAGCTTCCAAAGAGCTATGATGCCAAGGTAATTTTGTGGTATTTCCTCTCCTTTACCACAATATGACTTCAACAGTTGCCCAAAATGTGTTATGTACCCACTGGGCTACGCCTGCGCCACGACATTGTGACGGCTAGATAATGAAAATTGTGGTAAATAAGAGAACATACAATGGTAAACTGGAAGAAATTGGTTAGATTATTTTATGAGACGTTTTAATGTACAGGGCAAGTGGATATTTGGACGAGAAAAAATGTCGATCCTTTCCACATTCTAAATTGTCTCATAAGTCAATCAATCAATCAATCATTATTCATTACTTCTCCTATAAATATTTACACTGCACAATAGAAAATTAATACAATACTAAAGTAAATGTTACTCAAAATGACTATAAAGCTAATCTAGTTGAGTAACAATGTCCAAAGAATATTTCTGCATGTAAATCGTTGGACGTTATTTATTTCCAAAAATTGACATTTCTTTTTGACTGAATATTGCAAATTGAGTTACAGATGCAGAATATCGGTGATATTTGTACTCTACTCAGGGTTCGTGCTACTCCTTGAAATCCTTGAAAAGCCCTGGAATTGAAAACACGTCGTTTCAAGGGCGCTTGAAAAGCCCTTGAAAATAGAGAAAAACGCCAAAACTCCTGGAATACTCCTTGAATTTAATGCAAACTTAATGTTATTTCTAACTTTCCTTTTAAAATAAATAACGAGTTTCTGGTTGCTTGTTTACTGGTTGGTTGCGCGTCATACTCGTTTTTTATCTAAGCTAGTGGCCCCGGCTGAATTAGCTGCACTTTAACATTGGATCAATGTTTAAACCACGTTCTAATACAAAAAACTTTGTCCTTCAAAATCGAATTTTTGTGCTTGAAAAGTGCTTAAAAAGTCCTTGAATTTTGTAACGAAAATGTAGCACGAACCCTGTCTACTGAGTATATAGTTGGATAATGAATATCATTTATTTCATTATCATTAGAAATATTCTTTTCTGATTTTGATGAAGTATCACGATGTCTTATAGGTTGCGCTTATCGGGTGTGGACCAGCATCTATTAGCTGTGCAACGTTTCTTGGTCGTCTTGGATACAAAGACCTTACTATCTTTGAAAAACAAGAGTATATTGGTGGTTTGAGGTAAAGAATCTCTGTTATGTATAAACAACGTACAAAGATGATAAGCGTATGTTGGATTTTGTAGAGGAAACGAGTTTCTTCTTCGGAGGCAGAAAACACATGTACCTTTTTCCTTCTACAGTGCCTGTAGAACACTCTCGACCCCAGAGCCTTTTCATATTCTTACTGCGCATGTTCAACCCTCTAGCATTTCATCATTGAATGACATGCGCAAAATCATACAATTTGTCGTCACGACAAAATAGATTTTGCTTTGGATGTCAATCAAAGTATTTTCATGACCTTGTTGGAAAATACAAAGTTTTCAAGGGCACGCACCTATGTAATGTCCTTAATTGACGTCCACAAAAACATACGGCGTTGTACCGTCGATTCTGCATGTGCTGTTAAGATGCACTGTTAAAACATTTTCCTAAAGAATTCCCTAACAGAACCATGACGGAAGACCAAAGAAATGCGGCTTATTCACCTATTAGGCACTCTTAGTCCCAATGGGATTAATGAACGCTTTGCTTTTAACTAGCCCACTCTTTTGTCTTTTGATTGTTTCTTTCGTTTCCTTGCCCACCTTGTTCTCATTGGTTTCTTTTGTCTTGTTCTCAGTATATAAACACTTCTTTCTACCACCTCTTTCTCTTTTACTCCGACGAAACGTCTGTAAGTTTTTTCATCTTTTCACGGTGTAAAATGTACCCTTTTATCATTACCAGAACCATGGTTTAGAAACGCTATTTGTCCTTAGACATGCTTATAATTACCCTGGGCTCCAGAGGTTCTATTTCGCTTCTTGTGATCGTAACGAGCGAGTACCAAAGCCGCTAGCAGTCGAAAGGAATTATTTCTCCTCGCGACGTCCCTTGAAAACAGCAAACGCCAGAGCGAGAAAATAAAAACTCTGGACCCCAGGGTAGCTTACAAGGGACTCCATCTACGTTTTTTTTTCGCCGATATCTAATGCTTTTACCTCAATCTTCTTTGACTTTGGATTTAATTTCTGTTGCTTTTATGTGCCATAGTTCTTCTGAGATCCCGCAGTTTCGTCTTCCATATGACGTCGTGGATTTTGAAGTTCGTCTCATGACAGATCTGGGTGTTAAGGTACGATTCCATTACATGATCTAGATTACTTAATGCTATCAATCCTGAAACAGCCTCTGGGCTGATCTAAGTCAGGGCATGGCTAACTCACAGATCGGACCCTGAAACAACCTCTGGGCTGATCTAAGTCAGGGCACGGATAACTCACAGGTCAAACCCTGAAACAACCTCAGGGCTGATCTAAGTCAGGGCATGGCTAACTCACAGATCAATCCCTGAAACACCTCTGGGCTGATCTAAGTCAGGGCATGGCTAACTCACAGATCACTCCCTGAAACACCTCTGGGCTGATCTAAGTCAGGGCATG